CTGGTCAAACGATTGGATGGTTGCTTAGGCTTTTATATATATAGACTAGTGGGAACCCTCCTAAAATCCAAGTTCCTAGACACCAGCCAAGGACTAACACTGCCAATAGGCCTTTCCAAGAATAGCGGTCTTAGGTCTGTTAGGTTAACTCTTTTTTTCTTTTTAATGCATTTTTATTGATTTCAGAGAGGAAGGGAGAGGGAGAGAGAGAGAAACATCAATGATGAGAGAGATTCATGGATCAGCTGCCTCCTGCACACCCCCTACTGGGGATCAAGTCCACAACCCAGGAATGTGCCCCATCAGGGAATCAAACCATGACCTCCTGGTTCATAGGTCAACCCTCAACCACTGAGCTACACCAGCTAGACAGGTTAACTCTTTTTTGCACTTATATCATTTATATAAAACTAGAGGCTTGGTGCACGAATTTGTGCACAGGTAGGGTTCTTGGCCTGGCCAGTGATTGGAGCCAATTGGGGCCACCTCACCCAGTCCCAATCGGGGCCGACTGGGGCCGGCTGGCCAGGGGGAGGGACCGTGGAGGTTGACTGGCCGTGGGAGGTTGGCTGTGGGAGTGCATTGACCACCAGGGGGCAGCTCCTGCATTGAGCGTTTGCTCCCTGGTGGTCAGTGCACATCATAGCAACCAGTCGACTGGTGGTAACGGTCATTTAGGCTTTTATGTATATAGATTATAGAACATGATATACAATACTATATATTGTTTAAAGACACATGCATATAAAGATATACAACAGCCCTAACCGGTTTGGCTCAGTGGATAGAGCATGAGCCTGCGGACTCAAGGGTCCCAGGTTCGATTCCGGTCAAGAGCATGTACCTTGGTTGCAGGCACATCCCCATGGGGAGTGTGCAGGAGGCAGCTGATCGATGTTTCTCTCTCATCGATGTTTCTAACTCTCTATCCCTCTTCCTTCTTCTCTGTAAAAAATCAATAAAATGTATTAAAAAAAAAAGATATACAACATGCACAGAAAAATAAACACCAAATCCAGGGTTGTAGTTACATTGGAGGGAAAGGAGAAAGGAGTAGGTTTGAGGCAGGGGCCTTTCAATTGCATCCCTAATGTTTTATTTCTTAATCTGGTCAATGAGTAAAAGTGTATTTTGTTTGAGCACTTCTTATAGTTTTTCAAGTGTGTGCACCTGAAATATTACATAAGAATGAAGACTTAACTACTTATTACTATGTAGTACTAACAGCTCATGTTTATTGTTTTTCACATTCCAGGTAGTATGCTAAGCCTTTTATATGGATTTTATTCTTTTTTTAAAAATCTACTGAAGATTTTGTGTGAGGCCCTATCCTAATCTCCAAAAATACATTGAGAGGTCAATGTGAGGCAGGTTAAGATCTCTGTCCACAGCCAGCTTTTAATCTATTAAGGGATGACGAACGATAACAAGCACAACTCAAAACTAACATTAAGTACAGATTCTGAGATAATAAAGCAGGGTGATGTGATTAAGGAAGAGCTACTTTAACTAGGGTAGTCCAGGAAGGCTTGAGAGGGACATTTGAGTTGAACCATAAATGATGAGAATGAGACAACCATACAATTATCTGAAGGAAGCAGATTCCAGACAGAGGGAACAGCAAGTGCAAAGCCCTGCAGCAGGAATAAGCTTGCGCTGAAAGACAAGCAAGCAGGGCTTGAAAGTGGTGACAAGAGGGAGTCTGTTAGATGAGGCCTGCAGAGGTCAACTGAGGTCACCCTGTAGGGCCTCCTAAGCCACAGTAAAGATCTTAGGTTTCATTCTAAGTATGATAAGCCTTTGAAGGTTTTAAGCAGAGTAATGACATGATCTGGTTTACAAATTAGTATTATTCAGCCAGCTATATGGAGCCATTTTCTTTATTAGCACCACCCGGTTGTTGAGCTTTCCCGGGGGCTATGAAAAGGGTGAGGCTGGGGATAAAGAAAAACAGTTCTACAATGAAAAAGGAAAACTACAAAGTTGGAATGAATAGATGTTTAATTAAATATCTAGAAAATGTAACATTATGGCAACTTCATTCATCATTAAATTTAGTATTCATAAACAATCAAATTACATTTGGAAATAATTTGAAAATTAGATTTTCCTGAGTCACAAAAATTTCCAAATAGGCTCAATCATTGCCAAATCACAGCCATCACAAATGTGAATTTTCTTGTAGCCAAGTAATTTCAAAGGCAAAATTTTTTTTCATTTTTTAATGCAAAAAAATATTGTTTTAATGTGACATGTATGCCATAGCCCATGTGGCTCAATGGTTACAGTGTCGGCCCACACCAAAGGGTCACGGGTTCCATTCCCACATACCTGGGTTGCAGGTTCGATCCCTGGTTCCAGTCGCCATGCCTGTGGGAAGCAACCAGTCGATGTGTCTCTCACATCCACTACTTCCTTACTCTCTTTCACCCTCTCTAAAAATCAATGGAAAAATATCCTCAGGTGAGGATTAACAAAAAAATAAAAACAAAAAAATTGATGCGACATGTAGATACAAAAAGATATGTAGCCTTAAGACTCTAGGGGCGCCCAGAGGTGGCTGGATAAGAAATGCTAATAAGCTGGATCAGTGCTATTCAGGCCTATACTCTGTGTATGAACACTGTCCAGGGCAGCGGACCACCAGTTGGCGACCACTGATCCAGGGGACCTTCTTCTCTGAGAAGAGGATATTTAAACAGCGAGATATAAATGACAAGAAGGCACCAACCATCCCAAGAACTAGGAGAAGAGAATCTAGTTAGTGGTTCTGAGCTGGGAGTGCTATGTCAGATTTTTAAGGAACAAAGAGAGGGTCAATTTGGCCGGCCTGAAATTGGGGCTTGTGGGTTGTAGGAAACAAAGCATGTAGAGTCTTAAAGACAATACAGTAGTGCCCCTTTAGCAGAGGCGGACAGTTCCAAGATCCCCAGAGGATGCCTAAAACTATGAATACATACTAGTATATATCCCTAAATATACTGTTACTTCCTATACACACATGCCAGTGATAGTTTAATTTCTAAATCAGGCACAGTCAGAAATTAACAATAACTAATAATAAAACAGAACAATTATAACGATTACTGTAATAAATGTTATGTGAATGGGGGGTCTCTCTGATATGCTAGATCAGTGATTTTCAACATTTTTCATTTCATGGCACACATAAACTAATTACTACAATTCTGCGGCACACCAAAAAATATATGTTTTGTTGATCTGACAAAAAAATATATAGGTATAATTTTTATTCATTCACATCAGATGACTATTATTGTGTTGGCTGTTGTCATTTTTTTTATTTGACAATCTAAGGGAAAAGCGGTCAGTGCCCCTGACTAGTCAGGTGTTACGTGTTTATTTTTTACATTTTTATTGATTTTAGAGAGAGAGAGTAAAAGAGAAACATCAATGTGAGAATGAAACATTGATTGGTTGGTTGCCTTCCGCAGACTCTGACCAGGGATTGAACCTGCAACCTGAGTATGTGCCCTGACAGGCAACTGAACCTATGACCCTTCAGTGCATGGGACGATGCCCAACCAACACAGCCACACCATCCAGGGTGAGATTTCACTTTTCATCATGATAATCAGAACAGTGCACTATTTAAGACATGAATTGTTTATTTCTGGAATTTTCCATTTCATATTTTCGTACCAAGATTGAGGCAGGTAACTGAACCATTGAAAAGCAAAGCTGTGCATGGGGGCAGTGGAGCCAAAGGGGTGATTGTGTTCTCATCCTGAGGAAAACAGAAAATCACTCGCATTATAAGCAGGAGAGTGACTAATCCAATTTGATCTTTGCTGTCCAATAATACAATAGCCACTTGCCATAAGGGCTCATGAGCAGCTGAATATAGCTACTTCCATTGTTAAACAGAACTTTCCATGTCACTTAATTTTAGTTAACTAACATTTCAATTTAAAAACCAATATGCAATTGAGCTCGTGGAACATTTTTCATGGGAAGGCTTGGGCATGAGAATTTACATTTTCGACTGTAAATGTTATAAAACTTAAAGCCAGACCAACTATTTCTGATGAAAATGTAGCTGTAGCCCTGACCAGTTTGGCTCAGTGGATAGAGTGTCAGCCTGGGGACTGAAGGGTCCCGAGTTCGATTCCGGTCAAGGGCACGTACCTTGGTTGCGGGCACAACCCCAGTAGGAGGTGTGCAGGAGGCAGCTGATCAATGTTTCTCTCTCATCGATGCTTCTAACTCTCTATCCCTCTCCCTTCCTCTCTGTAAAAAATCAATAAAATATATTTTTTAAAAGAAAAGAAAATGTAGCTGTAAAAAGAATGGGATTTCACATACCTTGTGCAGAGTAAAATAATGTAAGTTACCTCATTTGTATTTTTTATACCCATCACCTCTGAAATATTTTGGTTATACTGGATTAAATACAACATTTTTTTAAATCCTTGGGAGCAATGACCTCTTTTTCCTTAAATTGTCAGGATATTTTTTCCATTGAGTTTTAGAGAGAGTGGAGGGGAAGAGGGAGTGAGGGAGAAAGAAACAAAGATGTGAGAGAGACACATCCATTGATTGGTTGCCTCCCGCACATGCCCCAACCGGGTCGGGGATCCAATCTGCAACGGAGGTACATGCCCCGGACCAGGAATCGAATCCAGGGCCCTTCAGGTGCGCCGACCTACGCTCTAACCACTCATCCACCCACCCACTCACACATGTGTTTTGATGTTGTTTTTAAACTTTTTAAAATCGTAGTTACTAAACAAATTAAGATTAAGTATGTGGCTTGAGTTATTTCCATTGGTCGCGGGTGGGAGCAGAGAGAGCGGGTGCGGAGGCGCCAGGAGTCTTCCTGGCAGGGGCAACGGTGGCCCGCAGGCATGGAAATGGAGACAAGTTTCTCGATGTATTATGAAGTCAAATCAGTGTATATTCACGGCCCCATTAAACTGAGCGAATAAACATGGCCTCGGGAGATGAGTGGCAGAGGCCGGACTCGAACTCCTACTTACAGCGGTGTGCACCTGACACGACTCCCAGCGGCCCACGAGCAGGCGAGGGAGGGATTCGAACTGGGCTGACCGCCAGGTCCCGGGCCCCAGCGCCGCAGTATCGCTGCTCCATCTACCTTCAGGGGTGAGTCACAATGTTCACAACGGACTCCGCCGCCGCTGGGCCTAAGGGGCCAGGAGCCCCTCAGAGAAGCTCCTGGTTAACGCTCACCTGTTGACAGGCGCCGAGGCTGCAAACACCCCCTTTTTCTCCTCACACCCCGCTCCACCGCGCCGGCGGCCGACTTCCGCTCCTTTCTCACGAATCCCAAGCCAAGTCTTCCTGTCCTCCCGCCCCGCGAGACTACTCAGCCAATAACCTCTCAAAAATTCTGCTTTATCACCGCCCATTCTCACCTGCCAATCACCGCGGACTCGAGCACCGCCCTTCCCGCCCTCTTAAGCGAGCGCCGCGCGCCACCGCTCGGCAGTTGGCGGCGCTGCTCCGCTTGAGATGCGTCTCCCGGAAGGGTTATGCGAAGGGCGGGCCACGCTGATGCGGGAACCCTCAGGATTGGCCGACAGGAGCCTGGCGCTCTGACTCCGCCTACCCCCGCCTCCGTTCTCTGAGTCTTGAGACGCTGGGGATTGGTTCCCGGCGGATATCTAAAGAAGCCAAGAGGTGATCCCGCCTCCCTCGCACAGCCCGGAGAGGGAGCTCCGCGGATTGGTCCGGAGAGTCTGAACGCACGCCTCCGGCGCTCCAGGATTGGCTAAGAGGGTGCTCACGCCGCCGGGGAGCGTTTACGGTGATTGGTCGGAGGGTGCGGCCAGCTATTTGAAGGAGGCGCGCGGAAAGTATACGCACTTCAGTCTACGGACAGAGACGGCGGGAGGCTCTGTGGGCAACCCTGTCCCGCTGATCCCACAGGATCCAGGCGTGGGCTCGGACCCAGCCTCGGCTTCAGTCGCGGCCCGGCGAGGCGATGGCCAAGGTATCGGTGCTGAACGTGGCGGTGCTGGAGAATCCGAGCCCTTTCCACAGCCCTTTCCGGTTCGAGATCAGCTTCGAGTGCAATGAGGCTCTGGCGGACGGTGAGGCTGGGCCTGTGTGGACACTGCCCCCCTCCCCCCGGGTCCCGTGGCCAACCCGACTTTCCCGTAGAGACCCTCGCGGCCAACCTCGACCTCCTCTGTGAAATAACCCCCCAAATTCCGATCTTACCCCCCTCTCTCTCCAGCTCTAACCTCTGCGTGGAGGCTACCTCTTACCCCCACCCCACGGCCAACCCGATCCCCCCCCCACCGGATACGCACGTTTCCCATGGGGGAGACCTCATCCTCCCATCCTCCCAAACCACACTTTTTCCTGCGGAGCTTCTGGGTTCCCGTTTTCTATATGGAAGCTTCAGCCGCCATTCTTTAACCTGCGGAGACCCTCAACCACCCCGTCTTCTATTTCTGTATAGAAGATTTTTATATTAACGTTACAGCCACTCAGTCTTCTCCACCTATCTCTTCTTTGGCGAGACACTCCCACCGCACTTTTTTCCTAGGGAGACTCCAGCCCCCAGCCCCCTCCCATTGCCTGTGGAAACCTTAACCTCTTCCCCCAGTTTCCCTGTAAGAGGCCTCTCTCCCAGGCACCTTCCCAACTTACCCAGTGGAACCCCTCCTATCACCCTTTTTCCCTGTGAAGAAAGACCCTCGCCTTGTGACACGACCTCACTCACCCCATCTCCCCGTTTGTCACACAATAATCCCCTCCCCAACCTACTGATACTTAACCCCACCAGTTTCTCCTTGTTTTCTATCCCAACATACATGCCCTAGAACAGTGATGGCGAACCTATGACACGAGTGTCAGAGGTGACATGCGAACTCATTTTTTTGGTTGATTTGTCTTTGTTAAATGGCATTTAAATATATAAAATAAATATCAAAAATATAAGTCTTTGTTTTACTATGGTTGCAAATATCAAAAAATTTCTATATGTGACACGGCACCAGAGTTAAGTTAGGGTTTTTCAAAATGCTGACACTCGGAGCTCAAAAGGTTCGCCATCACTGCCCTAGAACTTGGCTTCCCCCCTCCTCAGCCTGGCCCCAATCCTCTCCTTGAGCTCCAATTGGCCTAGGTTCCAGCTCTGGTCTTTGAGGATAACTTAGTCTCCCAGCTCCCATTCTTCACTCTTCCCTGACTGTAGGCTTTGATGAACACACTCAAATTTGAAGAGTGGGCTAGCCAGGCAAGCATCCAAGCATGTCAAACATTTAAAGGAGGCATGTGGCCTGTTGGCGGCGAGTTTGACCTACAGCCGAAATTCTTTTAGCACTTTTGTTGGTCTGACCCCAAATCTGGAGGTTAGGTGGGGTAGGGTGGGCTGAACCATGTTGGTATCCAGCTTCAAACAATCAGCTAGGAGGTCACAGCCTTTTGGGCATCTTTTCCAAGGTGCCTGCATAGATGTACTTATTCATCTGTGTGACATAAAGGTAGACATGGCTGTCATCTCACAGATGAGAAGATGGAAGCCACAAAAAATGAAAGACCTTTCAAGGAAAGGTCTATAAAAATCTAAAAATTTAAGGTCACCCAGGAAGTCTTGCCACCACTTTCAGGAGGAAGTACAGGCTTACCTCTGTTTTATTGCACTTCACAGATGTTGCATTTTTTACAAACTGAAGGTAAGACTCACCAGCAAAAAGATCACTACTCATTTTATTATGGTGGGGCAGAACTGAACCCACAGTATCTCTGAGGTACGACTGTACTCCATCCAACCACTTCTTCACTTGGTGGTTAAAAAGCGAAGAGGCAGCAGCTGAAGAGTGGAGACCGGGGAAGCCAGGGTGTACTAATCAGCACCTCGAGGTGGTAGTTGGGCAGTTTGCTTGCAAAGCCAGCCACTTGGGTTAGTTTAGGGTTGGAGATGTTTGTGTGCTGGGCCAATGGATCAGTCTCTCCCTAGTTTCTCTTCTTTTTAAATTATGTCGTCTACTTGTGGCTAACTATAGAATAAGTCCAGTTAAATCCTTTCTGTAACAAGGCAGGGTGTAAATAAATTAAGTGTAGAATGTCACTATGTAATAAGATTTCGTTTTAAAGCCAAGAGGAGATATAAGGAGCTAATAGGTTAAGGGATTCACAGTTCCCAAATGGCAGGAGATCAGGTTTCAGTTAGCCTGCTTGTGCTCCTTGCATTTAAAAGGAACTGTGTGGTCATTACCTAGTATTTGTATTCTTAGGAAGCCCCTGCCTGTTATTTAATAATCTGTTTATAGAGTCAGAGTTGAGGTCCAAAGTCAACCTGCTGGTCATTATATTTTACTAGAGAGAAGCAGACTTCTCCAAGGTCACATAGCTGGTTGGTAGCATAATTGACATTAGGGCTTGTTCTGAGTCCAGGGTTCTTTTTTTTAATTGATTTCATAGAGCAGCAGTTCTCAACCTGTGGGTCGCAACCCCTTTGGGGGTCGAACAACCCTTTCACAGGGGTTGCCTAAGACCATCAGAAAACACATAATTACATATTGTTTTTGTGATTAATCACTATGCTTTAATTATTAATTATGTTCAATTTGTAACAATAAAATTGGGGGTCACCACAACATGAGGAACTGTATTAAAGGGTCGTGGCATTAGGAAGGTTGAGAACCACTGTCATAGAGGAAGGGAGAGGGAAAGAGAGAAACATCAATGATGAGAGAGAATCATCAATTGGCTGCCTCCTGCACACCCCCTACTGGGGATCGAGCCCTCAACCCAGGCATGTGACCTTGACCAGAACTGAACCTAGGACCCTTCACTCCACAGCCTGACGCTCCATCCACCGAGCTAAACCAGCCAGGGCCTGAGTCCAGGGTTCTTTATCTTTACTAAAACCTGGGAGAGAATGCATCCTCTACTTTAGAAGTGGAACATAAATAGAACTGATCATAGAACTTATTTCCACATCAGGACTCTCAGAAGAGAGCAAAGTGGGTACTATTATTAATTACACCAGGACAATAAAGCTTTTGCCCAGAGAAACTCAAGTTGGGAAGTAAACTCTGGCCTGAAAATCCAGGCTGTGGTTCTTACCCTTAGGGCTCTAACCTATCAAACTTGCTTTCTGCCTCTTCCCACAGAGCAAAAGGAATTTGATTTCTGCCTGCCCCCCCAAAAATAGAGTGGACCTGGCTTTAGAAGCCTCAGATACTGAGGAAATCTCAGTCTTGTTAGGTTGACACTAGCAACTACAGATCTGACAAGACACCTTTTGCTCTCTTTTGTCCTCAGCGTCTGGAAATAGATGCTTCCAAAACATGGGTCCACGTTTAACACGTTAGGTTTGTCCTTCTGCCCCCTTCAATTGAGAAATTCAACAGGCACTGCTTGAATAAGTCATGGGACCAGATGATCTGACCCACAGCTGTGGGCAGGCCAAGGTTCATCTTTATGATTATGAACAAAAATAAAATGACAAGCAAAAAGACCTACCGGATACTTTTTTTTTCTTTTTTTAAGGCAGGAAACAGGTTCCTCAGCTATTTCAACTACACATGTCTTTTATCATGCCGTTGGTTTTGGTTTCATTTTCATACATAGTGGAGGAGCATCTTGTGCAGTGGTTAGATCATAAAGTTAGGGTGTAAAGACAAAATGAAATGCAGTCAAATTATCTTTGAAATTGCCCCGAAGGTGCCTGGCTGGTGTGGCTCAGATGTTGAGCATCGACCCATGAATTAAAAGGTCACCAGTTCAATTCCCCATCAGGGCACATGCCAGGTTTCGTGCTCCATCCCCAGTGGGTGGCACACAGGAGGCAGCCGCTTGATGTTTTTCTCTCACTGATGTTTCTAGCTATCTTCTCCCTTCCTCTCTCTCGAAAAAAAAAAATCAATAAAAACATATTTAAAAGTAAAAAAGAAATTGCCCTGAAGGTTAAGTACGCATGTTACATGTATATAATTGTGTCCTATGTTTTATAGGAGTGAGTTTGCGCTGTATTGGTGACTGATATTCCATATCTAATTCTAAAGAATGGTTATATTAAAAAATGATGCCACTTAAGTATGGCACTTAAAACACTTCAACTTTAAGATGATTCCAATTTATAGGTTCTCTTCTTGTCCTGTAGATGATTTTATCAGCTCCTCCAACTTTTGAGTTGATATTTTTCTGATCACCCATTAATTATTTGGTTAATTTCTGCGGTATTGAGGGATCTATTGTGGCCCGCTTGCCTGGCCACCCATGCAGTGTGTTTTCTCTTCCAGTCAGCACCCACGTGTGTCTTTGTTCAGATTTGCCTAACAGTATTGAACATCAA